AATGCGGTTGTTGTGAGAAATGACAAAATTATAGTAAAGGAGTCCAAAAGAACAAAGATACTCAAGATTACTTTTTTGAGGCAGAGAGGTACTATATTAATTTATCACTTTAATAACCAAGAGTTGAAAGTATGAAAATGAGCTTACAAAGGTTGAAAGATCTTAATTTCACTGTTCATTCAAATATTGCCTTGTAATTGTTTTTCAAAAGCAGAGCATATATAATTAAAAGCAGTTAATTGAAATATTTGAAACCCATAACTCTAGAGCACAAAGCATGCAATTTGAAGCAATCCTCATGGCTTCAATGTAGCTATTTGATAAAATTAAATAAATACAAATAGATAATTTGGACCTCATGCACCTTTTTAATCTACTTTATGCCAAACTAATTACCCTATGTTGCGGTTTAGTGTCAAACTTTAAAATTCTAAACTTAAACTCATTAATTATTTGACAAAATAACATATTCATTTGAAGATAAGGAACGAGGGCATTTATCCTAAAGTATATTATCAATCTTTGTAACTAATGATTTTAACATGTCAGTAGGCCATGTAGCAATTTTTACATGTTATCAGCCACCTATTGTATGCAATTTTGAAATGATATATGGGCAGAATCCATTTCGGTTCATAAACGAGTATTTACGTTGATCGGAGTTTTTGGGAAAAATTATAGATTTTAATGATAATGTATTTAGATTGTAATAAGGACTTTAGGTCACCCCCAATATTCAATGTAATTTTCTTTTTAGAAATATTGTTAAAACCGAGTTTTTGAGATTTCCAATAAATATTATATCACTCTGTATTTTCTATTGCATATATCTTATAAATATTTATAACAATATAAAAGCAAATTATGTATAAAAATATATTTTTATTTAAAATAACTAAAAAGTATAAATGAAAACACAACTGTGATTTTAATTTCGATACTTTTATGTATGAGAATATTTTTTTCAAGGCAATGCTTTCAAGTTTTTTTCAAAGATGGTAATTTTTACGGAGTATAATACATGATAATCACGTAAAAGGAACATACCTTTTTAATATTATTATTATTATGTTGTTTAAAATGAATTTACCTTATTTAAAATACGTATTCTTTACTATAATATCTGAGACTCGGCTTATAGAATTTCGACATAAGGCGAGTGAGTCTATTTGGCATTTTTAACAAGCCATCAGCCACATATTCATTATTCTAATGAGTTGGCAATTTTAATTAATATATGGAGTAGTGATTTGGGTTTAGTTTATTTTATTTTTTTATTGATTGAACATAGTGAATAAATTAATTGTTTTTGTGCGAGCTGCATGAAGTTAATCTTAAGAATTAGTAATATTATTTTTTTAACACTTCGATTCATTTTTCGAGCAATATGTTTGACCAATTAAATTATTTAAAATATATTACTAAAAACAATTATAAATATTTTATTAAACATAGTTTTTATTCAGATATTATAGTCTAATTTTTTTATTTTAATACATTATATATTCATATATGTAGTTATTCATTATATACATATAGAGGGTATGAAAAGACCCATTTTATGTAAAGACCCGTGACCTCCCATTTTCGTGACTCTTAGGAAAAAGAAGAATTGGCTCTCAAACTCCTCCGAGAAGCCGTCGCCGTCGCCGCTATTTCCATTGGCACAAGAAGCTATCCGATTTAGAGGTAAACTAATCTGCGAATTAGTATTGCAATTGGTCCGATTATTAAAACAATCTGATACAGGCGTTGCCTTGCCACGTGCATGTGGTGGTTAGATACGGTTAGATGGTGGTTGAGTTTGTTAGACGGTTAGCTAAGCTCGGGGGCTCAGGGCCTGTATATACTTATATTCAAGCTGTGGTTGGATTAATAAGAAGATATTTTTAGTCTTTCTCTTCCACATAGGGGCGGCCTTGGGCCTGTGCAAGCTGTTCAACTGCACAGGGCCCAATTATTTTTTAGATGTAGTAGTATTACTACTCCCTCCGTCCCAATTTAAATCGCCGTTTTGATTTTTGGGTATATTTAAGGAAAATAAAAAATAGAGTTAATTTTTCAAAATTGACATTATTTTTTAAGAGGGGTAATGATGAATGAGAAGATAAGGTGAAAAAGAATGACTTATTTTAAGGGTAGTTTAGGTATTTTATTTTTAATAGTTTAGGAAAACAGGCAATTTATTTTGGGACGGAGAAAAAAGGCAAACAGGCAACGGAGGGAGTAGTATACTAAGATATACGGAGTATAGAAAAAATCTTCACATCTGCGCGATTGCGCATCGCCTCACATCGCCGCAAAGAAACTGGAAGAATTGAAGAACGAAGGTCGGAAGGTGGAAGGTCTAATTGAGGCCAACCTTTTGTTTTTGCACAGGGCCAATTTTTTCTTTGGACCGGATCTCTAAAATCTCTAATCAGGGTCCCATCTCTGATCTTGTGCGTTCATCCTCCAGGATTCTTCTCCATTTCCGAATCCTCCTGCATTGAGCGTCATCACAATCTAACTAGGTTTAGTTTGATTTAACTCTTGATTGGCCTGATACTTTCCATAATCATCAAGATTTGTGGACGAGATTGCACGGAACAACTATAGGAGTGTATCTCTATCTCAAAATTGGGGATAAGGTTGTTCCGTTTGCTCGTGAGGAAATTTTGGTGGGGGATGCAACTGAATGTGATTTTGAAGAAGTAAGATCAAGGGCATTTCATGGCACAATTTGCTCAGCTACCTTGATTTATATAGCCATGCCATTTGCTGCTCTTTGCCGAGTGCATTTTGGATTCACTAGCAAAGACCAGGGCCGAGTTGTTAATGTTGCTGGAAAAATTGTTGCGCGATATAAGGGAACTTATGGCAACTATAATTCAGAAGCGTGTGTTCTTTTTGAGAAGCAGAATGACTTTGAACCAGTGCAAATGAAGAATAACCTTGAGTCTGTCGAGAACATGGCTGGGGTTGCCAGCATATTCGTCACTTGAAATTGATCTGGACTTCAACACAAACAGATAGCTTGTTAGAAGTTGTTCGGACAAAGACGAGGTAATTTAATTTTTGAAAGTAATGAAGTCATCATCGCTTAAGCCACTAAATCTAAGAACACTATACACTAAAGATAAACATAGGAGAAATAAAAAAACTATGGAGTAATGAATTTTATATTTGATTTCAAATGTTTTTCCATTCCCAGTGGACCTCAAATACTCATTCTGATAATGTTTTGCAGTTTCAATATATTAGCTTAGACAGTTTTTAAGGTGTTCATTGGTTTATAAATTTATTCTTTTCAATTAGGTTTCATGATCAATGTCAAGAAAGTATACCGAAACCATCAAGATTAGCAGAGTTCTACTCAATCTTTATTGGTTGTAAAAATTTGACGGCATTGAATATTATGGGGACGGTGGAATTCTCTTCTGATGGTAATACTCAGTACCTCTTCAAGAGCACTGGTGATGATGACCCCACAGAAGTAGAAGATGCACAGAAAGTTTTGCCGTTGCTCGATGTGTGTGGCAGTTTTCACGAAAAGTAGAAGATCATCTATCATGCACAGAAAAGTTTAAGATTGGGCGTTGCTGCTTTAAAACAGAAACAAATGATTATGAACTCAGCATCAGGTTGACTTGGAGTGATGGTAAGCAATTGTATTTTTTGGTTATACTCTACTTTTCGAGCTTTTGCAGTTTCAGTTATTTAGCTTACAAGAAGACGCCTCAAAACTTGCCTGGTCTCTCCAGTGCTAGAGTCCAACATTTGATTATCTAATAAAGAATGATAGGTTAATAAGATATGGAGTTTAACTACCCAATTAACATGTTTAATGTTGGTTGCTTGAGGAGTCTTACAGCTAGGTCTTTTTGATAATCTTTAGTAGTGGGCTCTCACTTTGTGATGGATAAATCATGAGAAGCAAGTTACCTAATTATTTAATCTATTTGTAGCATTTAATGACCTTAGGACCTATGATTTTGAAGGACTTTTTGAAAGCACTTGTACAATATTGTTTGATGATGAAGGGTAACTAGTGGAACTTATAGGAAAAAGTGCTTATGAGGATTCTAAGAAGTTTTGGGCATGAAATGCATCGAGAATCAAATGGAAGCAACCTCTCCCACCATTCACAATTGGCCCGCTCTTTGTGACGATCGGTCTGTCTATACTTTGACCAAGAACCAATTTTTTGACGTCAAAGTGTTAACAATAAAATCTTGATGAATGATGAAGAATCTCGATTAATTGTGCAATATATTGGGTTTACTGCTGATGAGTTTGTCATTATTGTTGATGCAGGCACGATGGGTGGAGAGGTCTAGACAAAGACAAGGTATTCATTCTTTGATTGTAATAAAAATGTTGTTTTTCTTCAGGTTCTCAGGTTCTGCTCAAATCTATATATTAACATTTTGTGATACGTCACTTCTATTTATTATACTAATTATTTTAAATTAGCTTTTACATGTATTTAACTCCAAAGTTAGGACCATCTAGTACAATTACTGACATAATTAATATTGTACAAGAATACTCCCAAGAGATTACCCTCCACAAAAAAAATCAAATGACAACGAAGTTCATCCCTTTGTTACGTCTATGCTGATTTGGAGAGTGATGACAATAATCTAAGCAAAATGCAAGACAAAGGATCCCAATTCATTGCACAATGTATTTGGTTTGCTGTTGATTGTTTTGAAGTTATCGTTGATGCAGGATTGCATGAAGGGTGGAGTGATTCGGACGCAGAGAAGGTATTTTTTTCTTTAGTCCTAAAATTTATGCGCATCCAAAGAAAAGTTTAACATGAGTATAGTCATAAAATTACAGTGTAAAATAATATTGCAGTATTCCACACTTAATATTGCGATTCCACTTGATGGAATGAGAACGACGAAGAATTGGCGAGAAAGAAGAGTAGAGAGGATGACACCTCGAAGCGAAACAGAGAAAGATGAAAGAAAGAAAAAGAGGAAGTAGCCAGCTATGGAAAATGACTTCCGGGCTTTAAAAGGCGAAGTCGAATTCCATATTTTAGACCTGATTTTCCTTTTGACCAATGGTTATTTTCTGTTGACTTCCATTTTCCAACCTTACCAAACATCAGAAAATAGGAAAATGACTTCCAGAAGTAATTTTCCTCCTTTTCAAATGAAGCCTTAATCTAAAAAACATTACATTTACTTCTTACATTTTATGAAGTTCTGGGCATCAAGTGAATCTCGGTTGCGTACTTGTTGGCTCACAACACGTCATTGAGTTGGGATTATACTAGGGTTGCTGTTTTGCATTTAAAAATAAAATGAGTATAAATACACTTGTTTGTCTATGGTAGAAAAAGTGGGGTAATGGCTTTTCGTGCCTCATAGAGTGCTTGTCGAGTTGTTACTGAACCTACAAGGATCTTCTCTTGTTGCTAACTCCGCTTATTTGCATTTTCCAGCCTCAAGCGAAAACAACATGATCAGCACAGTGGGGGAGTGATTTAGATGAAGATGAGGTAATTCATTCTTTCAATGCAATAAAATTATGCACAAAGCACAAGTTCAGATATAAAATTAGAAAACACAAAAACAATTAATGCAAAAGGCACACAAATACTTCAGTCCCAACTCCCAAGTGTGGACCGTCAGACAAAAATGTTAGACAAAAGCTCCAATCATGACGAAATTCATCCTTTTGTTATGCCTATGCTGTTTTGGCAATTTTGTTTTTGTGACCTCACTGATTCGGCCACATGTTAGGAGCATGTTTTATAAATGTGAATTATTGAGAGTGCTACTGTAAGACGGTCCAAATTGCAGAGTATTTGTTTGTGTTTTTAATCTCCCTTTTTACTTTACATGGAATTTAGAATTTTAAACTGTGTAATTGAGTTGTTTAAGAATTAAATGAGAGTAGGGGATTCATAAATGAGTGTAAAAATTGCTCTGAAAATGTGGGCTGATCAATGAGGTGGGATAAAATATGTTATTTTTGGATCGTATTTTTTATTCTGATTATTTTGGGAGTGCTTTTGGGTCAATCCCTACACTTATGGACACGTCGCCGTAAGCGTTTTATTAACCATTTGCAGCTTGCTATGATTAAATTATATTTTATTTTTAAATGTCAAAATTTAGATTATATGTGAATTAATATTAGTTTACGCGTATTTGAATATTCTAGCGCATTATGCATTGTGAAAGTAACCCCATGAGATAGGGAGTAAAAAAAAGAAGAATTGTACAAGAAAATGCTTTGAAAATGCGGTGGTAGACATTTGGATTTGGTGCTGATGAAGGAAGCTAATCAGCATACAAATAATAGAGGATAAACAACATTGTCTTTGGAGCATTTTTGTGACAGAGATTATGAGATTATCTCATTGGGGTATTATTGTGCAATATTTGTTGGAGTATTTTCGGGGAAACCCCCGATTTATTGCACAATGTATTGGGTTTGCAATTGATGATTTTGTCATTCTTGACAATCTCTCATTTATTCAATATTCTTCAGTGTGTCTAGTTCCTTCCCTTTTAAAAAAGGGAATCCTTCCATTTCTTCAATATTCTTGTTTTTTAGATAGCTCACACTTGTCATTGTTTTTGTTGTTGTTGTAATTTGTGTGCGTATGGCTGGATAAAAAAGGCCACGAATGACATGGCAAAAGTGGAGATGGAAGCTGCCGAATGAGGATTGCGAGATGGAAGGAGTGATTTAGACAAAGTCACGGTAATTCCTTCTTTATTTGCAACATATATGCTCATGCAAAAGGAATTCTAACATGAATTGATTCATAAAATTACAATAATTAATATCCCTAGATTTGATTTATTCAAGCATTCCACACTTAACTTTGAGCCTTAAAGACCTCATTGAGTTTGGGTTATACTAGGGTTGTTTGATAGGAGAGAGTAGAAGACATTGTTTAAAAGGGGTCAAGCCTCATTTGTGACTCTTCCTTGAGAAGAACTTTCAGCAGCTTCTCCAAATGAAGCTGCAGCCCTTGAAGCACAAAGAATTCCCAACACCTGCTTCAATGCATGCCCATTTTGTATCTTACAGTCTTCAAAGGTGCTACGCCACGGCTTGTCCTCAAATGTTTCCCCCCGGTCAGCACATCCACAATATGCATACCATGCATCAGATAGCTTACGCCAATTGTGAATCAAATCCCACAGGTATTTAAAACAGTCTTTATCCCCTTCAAAATCAGAGGAGTGTTCGGGAGACACCAATATCATCCACCCTATCTGGATAAATAGGAGAATGGACCCAAGAAAAAACCTTTAAATCCCTCGTAGAAAGAACATCGAAATCTTTACCTAGTCCAACCTTTAAACCTTCGGATATCTGAAACTGTATTGCTCGAAACCGGGCAGCTTCACAAAAATAAACAAAGAAATGCTCGCAGCCATACTTCCTTTGGGATTCCAGTTCATTATTCAAAAGAGAAAGTGCTTCCTTCAGATTTTGGTATCCCAATTTCTGAATGAGTTCATGTTGATACATGCATTTGGATTTTTTAGAAGAATCGCACCTTCTACCCTTACCTCAGACCCATCAAAAGCATACCAATGTCCACCATACTTGTACCCAACAACATAGATATCTTTCCTAGAAATCAAGAGGTGGGTACATTTTTCTTTGTACCGCACCTCTACAACAAGCAAGGGACTTCGACGCTCAAGCAAACAAGTCTCTACAATCCCTCCAATAGGAGGACCTTTGGATTTACAACGAGAACGGAACCAACCCATAAACTCATTAAACCTATCCTGAAAAACCAAACACTGACTGTTCAACATCAAAGTATACTTATTCTTAGGCTTTATATCCGAGTACTTGACAAACCTGAAAAATACAAAATTAAAAAGAATAAAATCAATTTTAAAAAAGGTATAACAATGACATGCATTTGATTCATTTATAATTCTCTTGCTCTGAGCAATGACAGCCCGGAAGAGAGGACGACCGAGGAAAAAGAAAGGGAAATCTGTTGTTCAACTCTTTGATTCATTTGTAATCGGTTGTTTATTTCTTCTTTTCATTCATTTCCAAACTTTTAGGTTTGTGTTACTATGTTACACTTTTTGTTTCTAAATTTTTCACTACAGTTTAGTTATTTTTGCAAGTGCCTTATGAGTTTGTAATTTATTTGTGTGTATAAAAGTGAGTGCTGCAACATTAGGTTGTACAATTTTTGCTCTGTATGTGCTTGGTTCAAAGATCTTTAAAGAGAAAAGAAAATAAGAGAGAAAAAGAAAAGAAAATTGAAAGAAAAAGAAAATAAGAAGGCAAATTGTGCTAAGAGAGGATAAAACCAAATTCCTTTCATCCATACTTTATTTAAAAAGCCATAGAGTCTCAATTTCGTTTTCCTGCTCATTTGGTGTTCCAATAGAAATGGTAAGTGTTCACTACATATGGTAATTACTCAATTAAAATGGAGTTACTATAAATTAGTATTCAATTAAAATGGTAAGTAATTTAAAGTAATAATAAAATATTCAAGCATAATTACACTTACCGTTAATAAACCAATCTTTTTTTAACCAGTTTATACGAATGGTAATAATTATATTTAATTATGTTTACTAATATATATGTAATAATATCTAATAACCTATTTCATTTAAAAATGGTAATTAAAAAATTAATTAAGTACGTGTATCACAATAGGTAATTAAAAATCTAATAACCATAATAAAGTAAGGCTAATAAAATAGATATATTATTTTGGTATTATGTTAATTTATAAAAATGGTAATTGTATTTAATTATATTCACTAATTAATAAGTAATAATATCTAATAAATTATTACATTTAAAATGGTAATATATACATGTATTTTGAATGATAAAATTCATATAAAGTATTAAGTACGTATATTTAATATAAAGTAATAACTAACGTCTATAAAAAGATAATTAAAAATCTAATTACCATAATAAAGAAACGCTAATACATGTAATTTTATGGTAACAGAATTGTGTTTTCATAATATAAACATGTGTTTTGGTAATAAACGATTAGAAACGTATATAAAAAAGGTAACTAAAAATCTAATTACAATAATAAAGAAAGGCTAAAAAATGGTAATTACTTTGGTAATATAGTATCAGTAATTAAGTTTGTATATAAAAAAGAAAATTAAAAATCTAATTATCATAATAAAGAAAGGCTAATAAAATAGATATATTATTATGTTATCCTTTAATATAACCATGTATTTTAAAATTGTAATTAAAAATAGGAAAATACGTATAGAGTAATGTACATTTTTAACACATATACAAAAATGGTAACAAAAAAAATAACGTTTAAATAGCCAACCTATGGGATACAATTAAAATGGTAAGTAATTTAAAGTAATTATAATTCTTTTGCACGGGTTATTAATGTTACATGGTTTTGACTCATTCCCATTTATGGAAAACTTTCTAAACGAGATTAATTTAAATTGGAAATGATTAAAAATGTGAGTAATTTAAATTGGTATTTAATTATTAACCTACTTGTCTTTATTGTAAACTTACTTTTATTAATTCCGCCTATTTGGTATTGCAAAAAAAAATGATAATTGTTCACTTAAAATGGTAATGAGTCAATTACAATAAATAATTAAATTAAATAATAATGTGCCGTAAAAAAACGTTAAAATGGCCAACTTAGTTATGGGAAACAATTACAATAGTAAGTAATTTAAAGTAATAATAATTCTTTTCCATTAACGAATTAAGTGTGAAATACATGCAGGCAGATCGGATG